AACTATCTGTGCGAAGTGGTGAAGATCACCAAAAACACTGAATGTGTCCGCATTTACGACCAATTGTTTGAACAGCCATTGGTTAGGGATCTCATCAAACAATGCGCTGGAGTTGTCTCTTACGACACATCCACTGATCACTTGGAGGCCATTGATCTGACGGTTAATTGCGATGACATTAATGATAAGTCAAACCCTCTAAGAGTTTACAACAAATACGACTCGGAAGTAGTGGTGAAATACCTGAAAGCGAACTCAAGTGATATGAAACCAATGGACAAAAGCAGTCGTAAAGCGGATACAAAGCGTGCAATTGTAGGACAGATTGGATCTCAAATGAATGGCGATATTCCCGGCACCGATAAGTGTGCCTTAAATGTCGAAAGCATTCCCAAAGAGCCTTTGAATGGCTTTGAAGGCCATAAGCCGGCCGTTGATCTCAAAGTGAATGAAACGGAACCCGTCGTTGAGTCGGACGTTGGCACTGAAGACTCGAATGGCCTTAAAGGTGATTCAAGTGATGAGAATGTGGACCAAATTGCCGCTAAAGTGGACACATTTGAGCCACAATTGGAAACAATTGATCTGAAAATAAACACAAATAACGAAAAAGTGGATGAAATTGAAGCTAAAGAGGACACTATTGAAGAAAATAAAGATACAAATAAGTCAACTGTAGAGACAATGGACTCGAATTTGAACGAAATTGAACCCATAGTTGAGACAATTGACCACAAAGTGAATGGAAATTCGCTTAAAGTGGATGATCTGTCGGGGGATACAAGAGATTCTTGCAATAAGACATTGGATTCTCGTGATTGCAAACAAGTGGACACCACTAACGATACTAGCAATTTGGCCGACAATTCAAGTCTTAACGAAAGCAATGGTAAACCTCACGTCAATATCAATGATTTGGAAGCTTTAGTCTTAACTCAGAAAGAAATCTATGTGTCGTGCGGTCATAGTATTAAGTCATTTCACTGTCAGTTGTCCTCCAAATTCGATGACATAACGTGTTTGTCGTCACTTATGACAGACTTCTATAATAGGATTAAGAATTCGAGCGAATGTTCTCTCAATTTAAAGGCATTGGCCATCAATGACATAATCGCCTCGCAATACAGTGAGGATCAGCTCTGGTACAGAGCAGCGGTCAAAGCGATTGATGGCAACAAATTGGATGTCCTTTACATTGATTACGGAAATGACGAGACCGTGGATGTCTCGAAATGCAAGGCATTGGCCCCACAATTCCAAGCAATGAAACCCCAGGCCTACCTCTGCTCTCTCGTCGATGATATACCACAGGAAAGACTCCATAAGTATGAGGAGGATTGCTCTCTAATTCTGTGCGAATTCACTGCCATTCAAAACAATGTCTTAATTGTGAAGATAATAGAAGTCAAATAATTTCTCATTTCTGGTCATTAATTCCATTCATTACTTAATATTTGTTATATTAATCTCACATTTGAAAATTTATTTGTATTAAAATTATAACTAATTGTTTACTATTTTCATAGGATTACTAAATTGAACTGTATTTGATTTTTTAATTACTTTTCAAACGTTAATAAACCGAATATTTTGCTTATAATTGAAATGTTTTGTATAATTTACTTCATATGAATTGTTTGAGTGCTAGAATACTGTATACAACTATAGAACATTCTACTGTATAACTTAGAGTAGACTCCAAAGTTAGACCAATTTCTGAAACCCGGCCCAAACCCTTAGTGTTCTTCAAACGGGAAGCCCGACCCGGCCCTTAATATTCAAACCCGTTCCCATCCGAAACCCTTAAGGGTCGGGTCGGACAAGGGTTCCCAACTTCCTATTCTAACTTAAAGTACGGGTATCACAATACAGCAAAGTGCTTAAATAGGCATTTTTGAGTGTTACCGTATAATACCATATACGGTATTAATAAATTATTTTTTATAACGTTAATTTAATTGATATAAGTTACTATTGTACATGTACTTACTAGTTAGTTTAATAGGGTGTGAATTTACAGAGTAATGAACTGGTGTATTTAAAATATAAATTTAATATTGATATGATTTACGATATACTGTTTATTTCACTTCATTTGATTTAATTTGTATACAATATACTATACATTCAAACATTTACGAGTTTATCGGATTTTAATTTGTTGTTATTTATATATGTTTATGTATTAAAGTTTTAATTCATTAGCAAATATTCTATTATACTGTAGATATAAGAATATACAGTAACAGTAACTTATAATTAAGATTTTATTTTAAAAACTTATCTCAACTAACCCTCGTTATGACAATGATTATTTAATTTAAAAAAATTGCAATCCAATTTACATATAAGCATACTCCCAGGTAGACTAATTTAATAGACTCTATTATACTGTGCACTTTGAGGTTAGACTAACAATAATTAAAACTAATGTATAGATTACAGTACTTTGTCCAAGTTTAGTCTTTTTATATAAAATGAGAATGATGAGTGTTCAAGGTATTATATTTGTATGAGTAAAATGGATTGTCGATTGCTCATCATAGAACTTCACTTGGTTTTGAAACTTATATTAGGGGTAAATGAACTGAACTATGGGATAGGAATCTATTAAATGAATTTGGATGACATTGTGCAATATGGAGGGAGGGGTCCATTTTTTTGAAACTTTTAACTAAGTATATATAATACTTAACTTAAACATAACTTTTCTCTAAGAGCCGTATATAAATAATTGTTTTATATAAATGTAAAAATATATTATTAAACAAATATTAATTCTCTCAATAGAGCACTAAGGCATAGGTTATTGCACTGACTATTAGTCCAATGAGTGTATGTAGAGGTCATCTACAGTTCATCACTATATCTAACAAATACTGACTACTTATTACATAATAACAGACATTGACAGGCATTTCCTATTCTCTCACTTTATGCCATAATTGTTCTGAAAATGATTTTCACCTGGATTATATAGAATGTGATTTAAGTGTAAAGATATAAAAAGTAAAAAATGAAAATTTAATAGTTAGAATTGGAAATATAATCAAATAATTACTTATTCTTTTTAAAAACTAATTCTTTCATTAGCTTGATACTTTTTATAAAATACGATAGTTGTGTTCAATGAATTTTCATTTCAGATAAATAATGTTATTTTAGTGCCTTGCCTTGGTCATTATAAATATTCTATAAATCCTAATGCACACAATTTTAATGATATGATACTCATTGTAAATAATTTAATGTATAATAAAGTAAAAGGAATTTTCCAAAAAATACTGAATATAATTAGATATTTAAGTTTAATCATGCGATTAGATTTGCAAAAGGGATGGGAGGAACGGGAGTCATTTGTTCAGTAGTGTGTCCATTACTGATACCGTACTGTGTATTTGCCTGAATATTTGTCAAGTACAATATACTGGTATTTCTTTATCAAGTTCATGTACAGAATATTTAGTAATGTATTTCATGTTCACTCACAATTGCATTAACGTATGACAGATACTGTACAGTAGAAAGTCTAACAAACTTGCAGTAAGCAAAGTAAGGGCATAGGTATTCAGCAATTATGTTACTCTGTAAGGGAGTGATCACTGGTTTAAATGATCTAGCAAATATTGCTGCTTTTATATAAAATACAATTAATATGAATAGCCAAACAACAAAATATAGTTAATGTTGTAATACAAGCACTAATTTAATTGAAATGAATACGAATTAAATGTTTTATAAAAAGATTCAATACAAAGAGCAATGCATAGCCTATGCATAGGTGTGTAATAGGGTTTTCAAAGTGTGTCCAAAAACGTAACAGAGTTTGTGATTGCGATGAAAGAGTTGAGTCAATGTATGGAAACGTCACTCAAAGACAAAGCACTGAACGACTGAATCTCGAGTTCATTTCATCCGCCATTGACTGCAAAGCAAACGCAACTAAACGTACGTATCGTTCGGCCACTCATTCACTGATTGCAAGCGTCCGTCAAATGAATGGACTGACGGTTGGCTCGCATTCACACATTCATGAACTTCTCACTCATTCACTGATGTCTGTCCACTCCGAAGGAGAGACACCATTGAGTGAGTGAGACATACAGTGCCTGAATGTCGCCCCAAATGAATGTGATTTTTTGATGAGTTGGTCACCTCTTTGTCCTCTTTGTTGCCATCGAGTCCTTAGAGAGCCATTCATTGCCACTATTGATGCCATTTATGATGATATGACTCTCTTTTTCAGACCAAACCATTGATTATAGCGAAGGACACGAACGAAGACAAACCTAACAAGAGTTGATCCGTTGATCTAATTTGTGGTGTGTTTTGGCGGTGACTTCGCAGTGAATCCAATCCTCTTGTGGTATAGCTGTCGACCACAACGGAACCGGTGAGAGGAGAGGCGGGAATTGCTTCTCAATGCTCGGGAGGAAAGGATGCCAACGGCTCTCCTCATCCGCAACAGAGCTCATCGACCGGTTGGACCCCAAGCTTGAGATCCACCACCCGATGGGTGCCTCCGAGTAGCATAAGACGAGATTTGCAATCCCTTAACCATACCATACAATCACTTCAATCCAATACAAAGCATATCGAAGACAAACAAAATGCCATTTTTCGTAGAGTCCGAGGGTATGGCTGTCTGTCTATCTGTCCATTTCGTGTAGACTTACTGTTTGTTTGTGTCATAGTATTCTCAATAAGATTACGCCCGAGAAGTTCAAAAAGTTAAGTAAAGAGCTGTTGGCGGTGGGCCTCGACTCGCCCGCCATTCTCAAGGGTCTCATTCTACTGGTGTTCGACAAAGCGTTGGAGGAGCCGAAGTACAGCTGTATGTACGCCCAGTTATGTCGCATCATCAGTGAAGAAGCCCCCAATTTCGAGACATCCAGAGATTCCAGCGCCGGTCCGCTCAACAAAGTAAGTGGCCACTCATTGCACTCATTGCTGACTGCCATTCATTGCTCACTGACTGCTTGTCCACCGGACAGACCTTCTGCCGACTCCTGTTGGCCAAGTGTCAGGACGAGTTCGAGAACAGACGGCGCGCCAGTGAGGCCTTCGACGACAGGGATGGACCTCTCAGTGCTCTCGAGGAGGAGCAGCGGTCGGTCGCCAAACACAAGATGTTGGGAAACATTAAGTTCATCTGTGAATTGGGGAAACAAAACCTTCTGCAGGAATCCATTCTTCATCTCTGTATCCGACAATTGCTTTCCAAACAAACTAAGGATCAGTCGATACAAGAAAAGGCTGAAGACCTCGAATGTCTCACTCAGATCATGAAGACCGTCGGACGCCTCCTCGACAACGAGAAGGCAAAGCCTTTAATGAATCAATATTTTGAACGAATGGAGTACTACTCGACTAATTATGAACTCAGTTCTCGCATCAGATTCATGTTACAAGACGTCCTCGAACTCAGACGCAATCACGTATGCCGAACCCTGACAAATACAACCGTTTCTTATGTCTAACATCCCTTTCCCTCCAACAGTGGGCCCCCCGTCGAGTCCAACGCGAAGCCGGACCTAAAACTATATTACAGATACGGGAGGAGGCGGCCAAGGATTACGGCGTTTATATGCCTCCCCATCAGTACACGTTTGGACCGCTTAGAGGTGGTGGTCAGCAAAAGCCGGGACAGCGCATGGATGAGGAGTTTCTAATGAACCCATTGGCATATAATCTACATTTAGGCACAGGTCCCGGTGCTATAAACGATGTCTACAATCACAACCCAGCCCTCGCTGGCCGACGCAATCAATCGAATAATTATCCGGGTTTTCAATTCCCAAATCATGTGAAGCGCGAGTCTATGAATTCAAGACAACAACAGCAACAACAACAACAGGTTATTGTGAACACGCCGTCGGCTAACACTACCGGTGGTCGAGAACTCCCGCCGCGATTTCAGAAACTACAACAACAACAGCAACCGGCCGTCTCTTTGGCCAACACTACGGTAAATGCGAATCAAATGCCACCGCAAGCCATGCCTCTGAAGCCGATGGTCGCGATCCCTAAATCGCAAACTCTTGGCTTCGACTCGAGTGACATCTCTTTACGACCGGCTATTAATTCAATGGTTTCCAAACCAAACATACCTTTAACTAAGCCATCGATGGCTAACTCTGCTCTCAATTTTCAAAACAATAACACAAATAATGCCAAACATTTTGATCGGAATATTATGAATGAAAACAAAACTATGGACAACATTAACGAGAAGACTGTAATCAATACGAATGTGACGAATCAGAGCAACAAAGAGTCGCTTCTCAAGAAGACTGAGGAAGCGCTCAAAGAAATCCTTTCAGAAAACCAGAACATTGATGACGTGATCATTAAATTCAAAGAAATGAAAATTCCTAAAAAGTAAGTCATTTATGAATAATTAGTTGTTTTCAAAACTAATTACTTTTAATTGTAATACAGCTTTCAATTAGACGTTTTGGTGACTATTCTCAAGAAGTCGGTGGAAGCGTCTGAGAGTGAAAGAGAGACGTCGACTAAACTCCTGAATCAGTTGAAGGCTGAGGACGTTATCGGCGCCAATATTTTTATGAATGTATGCCTCGATTGTTGACTTGAATTGCTATACGTTTACTAATTGTGATGATTGTAATGATAGGCTTTCAAAGAATTAATTAACCGAATCGAGGAACTGGAGTCTTATATACCGCGTGCGAAGTCAAATGTGGCGGCATTTATATCTGCGGCCATCGCTGACAATGTGGTGACTCTGAAGGAGGCCAGTGAGCCGTTAGAGGGCGGACAGCATTACCCTCTGTTCCTGTTATGTCTGCAACACTTGCATAAAACCAAAGGCAATGTTTGGCTCTTCTCGGCGTTCACTGAAAGTAAAATAAATTTGATTGAAATGTTACCCGAAAACGATCGAAACAAAGAGCGATTGGCAGATATATTGGAGGACAGAGCCCTTGGATTCCTGTTCCCAATGTTGCGAATAGAGTCCGACTTATGGAAACAACTCACTCAGAATGACTGCTCTCCCAACACACTGTATCGTTGGCTCAAAGACAATGTCGACCCCTCTCTTCAAATTAGTGTTGAATTTATTCGCGTTTTGTTCACTTCTTTGCTTAAGTATATCAATAAAGAAGTCTCGAAGCAGTCCATCGCTGACACTCCATCTCAGACTCAGACCAACGGAACTAATATAACCGATAATGAGAGACAAATATTGGCTAAATTTGAACACCTCTTGAAAGCGTTTCTTCACGAAAAGCCTTCTTTACAGCTCATAGCGCTCTACGCTCTGCAGAGCTATTGCTTTGGATTGAATTTCCCCAAAGGTTTGTCCAACAGTTGAGTACAAGTATTGTATCGATTATAACACCATATACTGTATATATCTGTTAGGAATGCTTTTGCGTTGGTTTCTAATGCTTTACGACTTGGAAGTGATCGAAGAGGAAGTGTTCATCAAATGGAAAGAAGACATCAATGATGAATACCCGGGCAAAGGAAAGGCATTATTTCAAGTGAACCAATGGCTCACGTGGTTGGAAGAGGCAGAGGAGGAGGAGGAGGACGAGGAAGACACCGATCCGATCCTCAATTAGTTGATTGATTTGTTGACCATTTAGTTGTTGAGACGACCAAACACTTCGATGTCCTCTCCGACCGCTTTCTATAATCTTTGAATTTGTGTCTCAGCACTAAATCTATTCATTTTTCTGATATCTCTCTCAATTGCTTTCTTTTTATAACACTTCTATCAAAAGTAGAATAAATGGATTCTTTGTCTATAATCTCATTTAATTCTTGTATACTGTTTACACAAACCTTTTATAATGTCTTTTCAGTTATTATACTAATTTTATGTTTAGGCAAATAGACTTTTGATTCAAAAACTAGAATTATTTTACACGTTTTGGCTATTTTTTAATACTTCTTTAAGAATAAGTTCTGGAATTGATTACAATTTATGAATATATTTATTAAAAGATTAATAGATATAAGAAACGATGGAAATATTTGTTTGGTTTTTGCACAATTGAATGACAGTTAACTTACGGATCACTTAAATGATTGCAAACATGAATAAATAAAATGAAAGCAATGAAATACAGTAATTATGATATGATTGACAACAATATTTAAAACTTTAACTCATTTAATAAGATAATTGTCGGTATATTGAGTTGTGATCATATTTGGTAGTGAAGTGAGTGGGCATACAAATGGTTTTATTATGAATTGTATGGAGTTTTCCTTTTCTTCATCGTCGAGAAGTCGCCAAAACCCTCATCGAAGACGTCTTCGTCGAAACCTTTTGAGTCAATTTCGGGAAACTTTCGTCTCATTCGAAACAAATGATTATAGATTTGCTGTTTTAATGGCATATCGTTTTGACCGCTTCTCTGTCTTGTGTTTGCATTTCTTTGATTAGAAGTGAGCCATAAATTGTTGTCTAAACCATTGTTTTCGTCGTTAAACTCGTCTTTTAATGAATACTTTCCCAAAGATTTGGTGTCAATGGATAGAAAGCAGATCATTGAAAGCCATAATAGTGTTATTTCTATTACTACCGGTATATGCATCTGAAATGGTTCATACAAAACAACTAATTATTTTGAAATTTTCTTAAAATAGAAATTATATCACAAGAATTATATTATAGTATAAATATTTTCTTTTCACAATAAATTTAATGAAATTGCTATAATTAATCGTAGACTTACTAGTAAATTGTAAAAGTATAAAGTAATAACTAGAGTTATGAGTATAAATGTTTCATTAATATTTAAATTTATTCTGGATAAGTCAGATAGGCTTGGTAAATAGGTTAATTAGTTGAACAGTAAAATTTTAGCTATTTTGATTGTCCAATTTTAACGATTTATGTCAAGTTTTATCATAAGATTAAATGATATTACCTAGAAACTATTAAAATTCATGTTATCACGCATATTTTACAAATTGAATTTGAGCCAACTACTATATACAATAAAATATTTACTATTTCATATTCCCAGGAATAATTATCCTATATACCTGCATATATTTATATGAGTTATAAATATAAATAATCAACATATAAAGTTATATAACTTTAGCTCAACTAATTATATTATACCTTAAGTAACACTTCATCGGGTATTATGAAATTACATTAATGACACGAAAAGTGTTAAAGTAAGACCACTATATATAAATATAAATGTGCAATTTATATTCCCTAGATCCTAGAGCCTAGACTCTAATTTTCAATATTCATCAAGTTTGTTTTTGACAACGGGAGCAATTCATTTGTAAATTAAAAAGTTTAAAAGTTTAATCAATTAAATCATTTGTGACATTTGTGTATAGTATACAGGTCGAAATATAATATACAATATATAATACCGTACTAGTATTAATTACCATTCTTACTTCATATTTTAATCTATTAAATATAGAATATTTGAAAGTAAATAATACTTCAAGAATATTTAAGGTACAAAAGCATTTTTAATTAATTATAATTACAGTAAATTGTTATTCGATTACCGATAAATAAAGTATCTTTTAAAATAAGTAAACACACTTTTCTGTTATAATTTTTACAGAACCACCTTAACTAGTACTTATAATTATTATAACTTAGGTATCGTACAATATATTAAGATTTATTAAAAATGTATACTTCCTACCTAAAAGTACTGTAGAATGAGATGGTGTCTTAAAAATGATGTGGAGATATATAAGATTAATAAAGTAAAAGATAATTATATACAAATGTATGCTATATTGTATAGGTTTGTAGAAAACATTTTATAGTACGGTATTTCAAAAGACAATTTAATTATTTAACACATGTTTCATCCTATTGTCGAGTAATATGATTAGCAAATGTACTCAAATATTAAGACTTATCTATTATTAAGTATTTTGCGACTAATGAAGAAGTTTTTATTCAAAGAGATCTACGATTAGCTAAACTTCTAATATTGCTCTCAATTCTTCCAATTAAAGAGGACTGATCTTCATATGTCTATATTATAGTATAATATGTCTATTTGTTTCTCATTTGTTATAATATGTGTTAGTATACCCCTCTTGATTTTATTTACGGTAATATAAAATAATATAACATAAATTATTGGGTTGGGTTGTGAATTATTTTATTTTAATATATAAATAAAAATTATTTATATTTATGGGATATTTCTACAGGCATTAGCTGGTTATTAAAATTTATCTTATAAGGTAATCTTTACTTAACTTATATAACCTGTAACCTATCAAATCTAATACGAATTTAAAGTAGGTACGGTACTAGTTAAATTATTATAAATTTATAATAATAACTTATTCAATTAAGGAATTATTACACGAATTTCGATAATCAAAAGAAAATGATTTAATATGTTAGATTTGTATTTTAATTTTACTAACTTAATGTTATAAAATATAAATAGACAATTTATGTAAAAAATTAAATTTTAAAAAATCAACTATATTTCTATGAAATCATTGTGAATGGTTAATATTATCAACCAAAAATAAATGTATTACGATTATTATCAAAAATTATTTTAGGATTGTAAGATAACTCTAAATTGTGTTTAATAATTTTTTTTGTGATCTTTTTACAAGAACCACTATAAATACTGTATTCTTAACTTTAGATTATAGATTTTATATATAAAAATTATGACTAGCTTAAGATACACTTTAAACTGTAACTAAAGTAACTTTATTTTACTCATAGATATTCCATCTCCTTATATGAATATTCTATAGTTTAAAAACATATCCATTAAACACTCTAATTTTGAATTGAATAATTTATAATCATTGATTTTGAAATAAAACTAATTTTTAAAAAATTTTATTATAATACTAATAATACAATAACTATAATACTATTAATAAAATGATATTTAGAAATTTGTACAATACCTTTATGAAAAAGTTGATTTGATAGTGCACTGGTATCACAAAATATAGTTAACACGACTGACTCTATATTAGATGAGTGAATACTACTCGTATAATATTTGGCAAACTTTTCATTTGTTCTGCAATCGCACTGAAGATATTGCACATGACATTCAAATGTAGAGTTAGTTATATTCTCTGTGTTCTACCGGTGCGATGAATAAGAAATGGTAGGCTTGAAGAAGATGAGGAGGAGTAGACCAACAGACACACAAACCAACAAACTTGCCATTTTTTGATTTAATTAATGTTTTGTCTAATTTTTAAAAAGAAATTTTATACTACTTTATATTTTGGAAAATTATCTTAATATTTGCTTCTCTTACTTATTGTATAAATATGATAAGAATAAACTAAACACTATAATTAAATTATAATTTAATATAAATGACAATTCATATATGTGATACTTTTTGGAATATTTTAAAATAATATTAATTTTGAACAATTGGATTACATAAGTTTGCATATTAAATATATTTATTTAGTAAACCATAATTTAATTCATTACTAACAGAATAATCCTTAATTTTAGAATTCGTTATATTTGAATGATGTATTTTGATGTGTGTTTGTCAATATACTGTACAGGGTGATTATCACACTGTGATACTATTTCTTTCCCTAAATTGCATTGATGATCAATGATAGATGAGTGTATTAAGTATCTACATCATGGTCATTTTGATTTTTAGTGACAAAAGTCTATTTAAATACTGCTGTTTCTTTTAATTTTATAAAAAGTTATGCAACGAAAGTGTAATTTATTTGTAAACTTACAAACATTTGTCACAGTATTTGTCAGTTCATAAGATTGTGTTGAAATAAGAAATGCCTTAAAATTAATTATTTATGTAATATTTATTTGCTTTCATTCTAACCATAAAATAAAAACAATTCTCATATATATTGGCTGTAAATTGCTTTTGGAAATGGTTTTGCATTCAAATAATTGCTTCAACAATCAAATATTGATAACGAATTTGATTGTTTGGAAAAGACTGAATCGCTGAACACTTTTATCCAAATATAAATCTGACGCACATTTTGCTCCAAAAATACAATTGTGTCACATTTTATAGGTTTCATCAGTCTGTGGGAGACATGATATACTGAAAACAATAGATTGTTTCAAAATCATCAAGATCATTGAAAAAACATCTAAATAGAACTTTCTAATTGACCAAGAATCAATTTGTATCATAAAAGTTCTTTTTAAATGTAAATTTATTATTATATCAAATGATTTTGCATTTAATTTAGGTCCTATTTCTAATATAACTATACAAACAATTAAAACTAAGTAGTAAATAAGGTTACACTAAATATTAAACTTAAAATTATAATAATATGTTATATATACACAATAGTGAGCTCAAAATAAACAAAATTGTAATGTTAAATAATCATATGGTGGATTACGTTTATATTACAGTATTATAACTTACATGCATATTTTTAAATTCAAATTTAATTTAACATATTTACTTAGGAAATACTGTATAACGTTATTAAGTATAACTTTTAAATCATTGATTACTAATCAAGACTATGGATTCATTCAACAGTATTAAGATTGACTGTACTTTAAACAGTAATATATTTTTCATCCAATTTCTATAAGAATTTAATTTATTTGGTATTTTGAAACATTATTATTATCTATGGAAAATATTATGTATTCTAAATTATGTTTTATCATAAGATTCTAATAAATTATTTTAGCTATACATGATTATTGATAGTAAAGTATTTTGTTGTCTTTGAAACTTTTAATAATTATAAAACATCACATAAAAGAGCAATTTAAAAATAAATGTCATTTTTAAGCACAAAGTTTTAAAAAACGACTTCTCTTTTAATAAAGAAAAATCAAGATTAAAGTGAAGCGAATCTCTTCACTAAGAATTCACTGAAACCACAGAATATTTGTTTAAATATTGATAACAAAGGCGTTAAGAAGTGAGTCTATGTTTCCATTTGACACAATCATAACTCACTTCTTATTTATTAATAATTCAAAATTCTCGCTTTTTTACAAAAAAATATAATTAAACTTTGAATTAATGAAAATTAATTATAATGGCAAATTGAATTTGTATCCAGCTCCATGAAAACATTTCACAAATATTAATAATATACAACAATTTTATTCTTTAATCGTTGGGATTACATTATATTTTATAAATTTATAAATTTATCCTAAAATTTTGTTTTCAAGAACACACTAATGAATTGTTGTGATCCTTTCTAAACGTACCATTATCATTTATACGGTATATGTTTTACTGTAATTATGCCTGTTATAAAATCACTTTAAAAAATAATATACCTGTACAGTAATACAATATTTGAGACTTAAATGAGAGAGTGTGTAAGGATTTTCATAGTAACAGTGGATTTAAGTAATAGTTAAATTTAACTAAAGTTAAAATGCTTTTTAAAATTATTGAAAAAATCAAATAAATAGATTGATGAGGGTAGTCTATACTATAGTGTATAGTGTGTTACATAATTACAATGTAATGCAACCCAATTGCCATAATATGCAGACCACTAGTGATTGCATCAGAAGTTTGTTGCCATTGAAAGCGAGTGTCTGTGCGTTGACTGCAATGCATATGTCGTGAACTGAATGTCAATACTATTGATATAAACAAACACTGAATGAGTGAATGTGAGCAAAAGGGGCCCTCCTTTTAGTGTAGCCCTCATCACATGAATTGGTGCCACAAATCACTTGCAACTCATTCACTGATCACATGAATTGGTGCCACAAATCACTTGCAACTCATTCACTCATCACATAACGTGTGACCAGTGATGGCGTCCTTCTGGAAGTTGGCCTCCGGTTCTACTGTCGAGGAGTTCGCCAAAGATGTCTACATTAAGAGCAATATAACCATTGAATTGAATAAAACCATTAAATCCATTATTAAGACAATGAGTGAATCCAAGAGCAAACTGCTAGTCGAGACCCAATTAGTGATGGATTTGTGTCACATCTTTGAGGCGATCCTTCTTCACGGACTCAAACAGAAACTCACGACTCGGGTGTCAAACGTCTTCTCGAGTCCGTCCTCGCAGTCCAAGACCTATGAAATGGATTTCTGGACCATTGTATTGATCTTATGTCACAACGAAGTGTCACGAAATGTGCGCCAATTGGCGAACATCTCGACCGACATCGGGAGGTGTGGCGCATGGCTTCGGTGGGCACTCAATGACGGCCTAATCGTCAGCTATTTGGAGGCCTTAACCGCCGACTCGTCTCTATTGCACGGCTTTTATCGGTCTTCGGCTTACATTCGCGACAGAGAGCACACAGATATCGTCAAAAGACTCGTCATTAGTCTCGACTCTTATGTCTTCAACTTAACCATCGATAGTCCAACACTTGACTCGTGGAGCGAAACCACTCTTCGACTGATTGGTGTGTCATATGTGGAGACAGAACCCCAACCCGTAGTGATGGCCACCGATGCCATCCAACTCATTGACGATACCAAGAGTTGTAAAGTAATTGAATCCATGTTTGCATTGAAGTGTTGTTTGCATTAATTTATATGAATTGAAAACTTAGGCCGAAATGAGTGACGAATCGAAATCTGGTTCAGAGAAAGACATTGAAGACACCGTTTCGGACAACACTTCGGAAGCGGTGTTTGAAATAAAGTCCATTTATTCCAATGAAGTGATCGATGAAATTGTGGGCGAATTGGAGTTGGAGGCCAACAAGGATTCCGACTCCGAGACCACCGAAACCGGCAATAGTTTGAGCCGAATGTCCGGTTGGAGTACAAGTCCTCACAAGTCTGAGGACTTGTTTCCAATTCGGGACCAAAGCTATGACGACATTCTTCAGAGTTACTCAACACAAGCCGTCCTCTCGAGTACTCCAGACATACGAGACTTAGCGACAACTGTAGAGATGGAGAGCGCAATGACCAGACCTCAGCACTTGACTAAAGCCATCTCTATGTTGTCCACCAAAGAACAGTCGCCCACAGACTCGATGTCTTCGGAGACGGACTTTGAGATAATACCAAAGAATGCTGTTTTCAATAATACAGATCCGGAAACTCAGAAGTTTTTGATTCAATTGATGAGATTAGCGAATGAATGCGGACTCGATGAACAGGACTATAAGTGCATTGCTTGCGCGCGACCTATTGGTATGATTTACGGCAAATCACGGCTGTGTCACTTCGATGGCCACCAATATTGTCTGGACTGTCACTCAAACGATGAGTCCATAATCCCGGCCCGAGTTATTCATAACTGGAATTTCCGCAAATACCCGGTCGCCAAACGAAACAAACATTTATTGGTGTCAACAGAAACGGAACCACTTTTTGATATAAAAGTTTTGAGTCCCTTATTGTATACAATAATCCCTGAAATGAAACAAACACTGGATCTGAGGACTCAACTGTTCTATTTGCACGCATACCTCTTCACCTGTCAGGAGAGTATAGCCATCGAAATGCGTAAAACTGTTTGGCCACGAGAGCACCTCTTTCAGCACATCCATCTATACTCTGTCACTGATCTGTTTCAGGTATATATGCCACTCATGCCTACCAATCAAACCAATCACTCATGCATTTTACTTGTAGGTCCAAAACAATCTATTGTCTCAAACGTTGGCTAAAGTGATAGCATTTGCTAAGAATCACGTCCTTTCGTGCCCTTTATGTACGCTTAAGGGATATTACTGTGAAATCTGCAATTCGTCACAAATTCTGTATCCATTCAATACGGAATCGACTAAAAGGTGTGAGAAATGCAAAACTGTGTTTCATTTGCGATGTTTTAACGAAAGGTATGACAAAAACTCGTGTCCCAAATGTCTACGAATCGAAAAGCGAGAGAATAAGATTACTATCATTGATAACCAATGAATTAACAGATATTTGTTTGTATTTATTTTTAATAAAATAAATTTAATTTGTTTAAGTAACTTAATATGATTTTTCAAGCAAATATTACTGATGTTAAATATATTTAATATTTATTAAAATAAGTAATTATATTGAAATGTGACTGTGAATTTAATTTATAATTTATACCAATTGAATAACTTATGTATACCGGTAATACCGTATTGTATGTTTGCATTCATTTAATATTTTATACAAATATAAAGACTATTTTTATTGCACAGAATATTTTTGTGGGAATATGTTTATGAAACAGTTTGTGATAAAATCTAATTTTCTCTCAAAAGTTGTACGGTAGTCATTATTTAATGGATTTTTATTAAACAAAAAATTAATTCAATTTATTTAATTAAATTTAATTTTTCTGGAAATTCTTTCAATGAATCAATTTTCTGAGATTTGAGTTATAGATAAAAAGTTTATTGAATTAACTAAAATTTTTAGGGGTATTGTTTTAGTGCACAATTTGAGAGAAGTTTTCTTACTGGATATTTAATTGCATTTAAATGAAAATAATATAATAGATTTAAAGATAAGATGTTGTATATCTTAGAAAGTTTTATACTAATGAATCGTAAGATATTTTTATAAAACAAACGATATGTAATCCAGTATTACATTTAAATTAGATAATAGATGTATTTATGTTATATAATTACATTGCATTAAAATATATTAGATTAAAATAGTAATTATTAAACCAATTTTCATATGAAAACTTTTCCATGTAATTGGAACATTGTGTGTGGTTACTTTAAAGTAAAGTAAATAACATGATATTCATTACATGATTAAAATATACAGTATAGTAGTTCAACAAAAGTGCATTCTTGAGATAGTGCACACAATTACTTCATTGATTATTTAAATATTTTTAATTTGATTTTAATCTGGATTTGGCACTTTTTAAATTAATTTTCCTTTGGAATATTAAATTTTTATTAATACAGTAAAATTTTGTTATGCCATCCATATGAATAAGCCTAAGTTTACTACTATTTAGACATTATGTATGTTGTTTGTAACATATTAAAGATTTATATCATGTATCACTTATGTTAATCTATAATCTTAATAAATATTAGTTTTTTAGATAATTTAACAAAAAATAGTCTAATACTCGAAATCATGGAATAAAAAACTTAAAGCTGATTTAAATAAATAAATAATGAGAAATCAAATGAATGGTTAAAATATAATTTCAAGTTCAAGAGTTCTATAACTTGGTTCACGTTTTGGAGTGAAAAATATAATTAAGAATTACTGTGATTCTAGTGATGAATGTCTACGAGTAATGCCTTATGTCTAAGAAATAGTTGTCTATATATCCGACATTCATTGAAAACTCACATTTGGGGTTATTTTTGGTTGAAAAATATAATTAAGAATTACTGTGATTCTAGTGATGAATGTCTACGAGTTATGCCTTATGTCTAAGAAATAGTTGTCTATAGATGCCACATTCATTGAAAACTCACATTTGGGGTTATTTTTGGCACACATTACTACTCGTAAATAAAGATCTTTAGACTCTTTAGACTTGTCTCTTGTCAGGCGTGGTCTTCAAGTCTGTTCTTCATTACGATATAAGCATTTGAAGACTTGTGAGAGTTCTCAATGCTTTTCTCTATTCAATAGTATACTACAGATTATTTAGACTCTTTAGACTTGTCTCTTGTCAGGCGTGGTCTTCAAGTCTGTTCTTCATTACGTTATAAGCATTTGAAGACTTGTGAGAGTTCTCAATGCTTTTCTCTATTCAATACTATACTACAGATTATACTACAGTCCAACCAAATGCTCTCCTTAACTGTTAATAACTTTTCAAATGAATAGCCTGTCCTTCCAAACACACGGGTTTAGAATTACACTTTAGAGCCACAGAGACATTACAGAGAGTGAGGGTGTAGTGCACAGCACTCTCCAGTTATATTTGATGTGTCAAACTCTAAACTAAACTTATAATGAGAGACAATGCTATAATCAGGTGCTTCTGGAATTGGCTCCTGGTTATACTCATAACCGGTTCACTTATTCTATACCATCCAGTGACCGGTCAGGTATTGAATCCGCCGTATTTCAACTTAGCTGAGGGACGCAACGTATGTATACATCGCTCGTAAAACTAATGATGTCTTATTGGATGTCTTATTGATGTTTAATTGGATTTCATAATTATATGACTCAAACAGATCAGTGCGACCGCAACCTGTGGTGAGAGTGTTCCCGAACCGGAGCTGTACTGCAAACTCGTCGGATCCAATTGGTTGGACAAACCCGACAACGTCCACATCAATCTCATTCAAGTGCGCTATTATCCACTTATCTCGTGCGCCAATCTTATTAACCCTTTTATATAATTCTAGGGACAAGCGTGTGACTATTGTGACCCTGATGATCCCAATCGGGCCCATCCGCCACAATATGCCATCGATGGTACGGAGCGCTGGTGGCAGAGCCCTCCCCTTTCTCGCGGAACCAAATACAATGAAGTCAATCTGACCATCGATTTGGGACAAGTTTGTCAATTTCATTATTTCTTAGTTTTTAGAAGTTCATACATTTTTAGAATTTTTATTTATTATGAGAATTACCGGTATTTTATTTACTGTATATTACCAGTAATTGAATGAGAAATATAGGATGAGAGGAAAGTTATAGCTATTGTGCGGAAACGATAAGAAATGCAGTGAAAGTGAAAGTAAGCATAAGAAATGCTTCACAAACCAATTATTATACTGTAGTGTATTGTACAGCAAAAGAGTACAACATTGTACTGTATATTATACTACAGTAGTTATAAGCACTGGAAGTATGGGTTCTCTCAACTAAGTTCTTAGAACTATAGAACAACTCCTTATCTGATTATACAATATACTGGAAATAATTCATAACATTTAGGAATTCAGTAATTATTATAAAACATAACTTGGTTTACACCATCTTACTAGAAATTTATTTTGTTAACCATTATTACATAATATCAAATTGTTAATCTCTAACATGTAAAATAATGTATTGAACATGTAAAATATGTAAATATTGTTAGAGATGTATAGAAACATGAAAATATGGCTTTTTAGCATAAATCACAAACTGTTCACAAACTGTGAAAACTGCAGTTCTTGAAAGCTAACCAAATGTTTATTTAAAGTCATTTAACATAAATACAAATAATTGAGAAATTTTTGTACAGACATTTGGAAATATTAATATATAATTTTGATTACATCAATCTCATTCAAGTGCGCTATTATCCACTTATCTCGTGCGCCAATCTTATTAACCCTTTTATATAATTCTAGGGACAAGCGTGTGACTATTGTGACCCTGATGATCCCAATCGGGCCCATCCCCCGCAATATGCCATCGATGGTACGGAGCGCTGGTGGCAGAGCCCACCCCTTTCTCGCGGAACCAAATACAATGAAGTCAATCTGACCATCGATTTGGGACAAGTTTGTCAATTTCATTATTTCTTAGTTTTTAGAAGTGCATACATTTTTAGAATTTTTATTTATTATGAGAATTACCGGTATTTTATTTATATTACCAGTAATTGAATGAGAAATATAGAATGAGAGGAAAGTTGTAGCTATTGTGCGGAAACGATAAGAAATCCAGTGAAAGTGAAAGTAAGCATAAGAAATGCTTCACAAACTAATTATTATACTGTAGTGTATAATAGTGTATTGTACAGCAAACGAGTACAACAGTGTACTGTATATTACACTACAGTAGTTATAAGCACTGTAAGTATGGGTTCTCTCAACTAAGTTCTTAGAACTATAGATCAATTCCTTATCTGATTATACAATATACTGGAAATAATTCATAACATTTAGGAATTCAGTAATTATTATAAAACATAACTTGATTTACACCATCTTACTAGAAATTTATATTGTTAACCATTAATAATGGTCCATTATTATATAATATCAAATTGTTAATCTCTAACATGTAAAATATGTAAATATGATATTGTTAGAGATGTATAGAAACATGAAAATATGGCTTTTTAGCATAAAAGTGTTTGACACTTTTGACGTCAAGAACTTTCGATTGGTTTACAAATAAATTTCAGTAAATTGTATTTATGTTTATTAACTCTTTAAAAACATGTCTGTAAACCTTTATAATTATATATTAAAACTAAATAATTTCAGATAAAAACAAACTTTAGTTTCCCTTATGTAGGGTTCCTCTCTATAAACTCCGGTTAACAGAGTAACTAATCGATTAATAGTAATCGGTATTTGAAAAGTTTGTTTTGTCTTGAAGCAATATGGGAATTTTACTTATTTTAATACATTTTTAATTAATTAATTTATTAGTATTTTATAAATTTAAGCATTATAATTTAATATTTTTAATAATAATTGTCATTATTTTATTTACATAATTATTAATTTTGATTTTTTCTTATTAGTGGTGATCGTATAGGTTCAAATATTTATAAAACAAAAAATTTATAAAATTGAATGATAAAATTAATACATTATCAATATGAGTAAACTGACATTAACCAATTCTTGATTGAATTATATGATAGTCTGATGCTGAATGTTGTATTTAATTTTTTGAATAGGAATTCAATGTGGCCTATGTATTCATTAAGATGGGAAACGCCCCCCGACCGGGGGTTTGGGCTTTAGAAAAATCAAGAGATTATGGAAGGACATATTCAGCCTGGCAATTTTTTGCTGATACTCCAGGAGGTATTAAGATACTGATATTAATATAAGCATATTAAACATATTTATAATGTAATTATTTACGGTTAAGATTGTGTCTACTACTTCGGTCATCCATCTCTCGGACCCATCATTAAAGACGATTCAGTGTTATGTGAGACCAGATTCTCGAAAGTCGTTCCCTTGGAAGGGGGAGAAGTACTTATAATATATAAATATTTTAATTCAATCACATAATAATTAACTACTTTTTTTAGATTGCGGTTTCATTACTCAATGGTAGGCCCAGTGCTGATAACTTTTCCATATCGGCTACACTTCAGGAGTGGAGTACTGCCACTAATATAAGATTCCGCTTATTGAGACCGAAAACAACTTTAGGACATCTCTTGTCAGTCGCTCGACAGGATCCGACTGTTACCCGAAGAGTATTTAACTTATAAACCCTATTTCTACTAAACCAATAATAATGATAATTTTTGTCTTTTAGTACTTCTACTCTATTAAGGATATAAACATTGGGGGCCGTTGTGTATGCAATGGTCACGCGTCCCAATGCGACCAAATAGACCCGAATGATCCGTATAGAGTGAGCTGTAGCTGTACTCGCAATACATGCGGCAATCAGTGCGAGCGCTGTTGTCCCGGATATATGCAACGGGAGTGGAGGCGCGCCACTATTAATAACCCGTACGCCTGCGAGAAATGCAATTGTCATAATCACTCTGAGGACTGCTATTATGACAAAGAAATAGACACCAAAAAACTCAGTCTTGATATTAACGGCAAATTGAACGGCGGAGGCGTCTGTACAAACTGTCGGCACAACACTGAAGGCATTAATTGTCATAAATGTAAGGCAGGATTCTATAGACCCAGGAATAGACCTATTGATTCACCAGAAGTTTCAGTCGGGACACGAACATTAAAAGTGATGAGCTGACCGTTAACGTGCCTTCCGTGACCGGTCCATAAAGTACGTTAAAGTACGTAAAAATGTTTCATCTTAAATTGACTTGTTAAATAATAAATGAGTTTTCAGTGCGAATGCAAACCCAACTTTGTTCCCCCACTTTGTGACCGATGCAGGTTTGAGACAAACATTTAAAACTAAATATTTGATAAAAATTATAAATTATCTTTGATTCAAAAGTTATGGTTATTTCGGATATCCTGAATGCAATGAATGTCATTGTTTCCCAAACGGCACTCAAGGAAACGTATGTGAGCCATCGAGTGGGACGTGTCCCTGCAGGGAAGGTATGAATTGACTTTTAAATTTCATTTTAAAAATATTTAATTTAGGAGTATACAACATACACACATATAATTCCTATATGGCCGTTTAAAACATTTGTTACGCGACTCGCCATGAAACCCAAGGGCTGCACACTCAGAACGTTAACAGTGAGGTGAGTGAGCCAGTCCAACGTGTGTGACATCGGGACGGGTCAGTGTCAGTGCGCCAACAGTTATGGGGGCCGACAGTGCGATGAATGTGATGTAGGCTTCTATGACTATCCCCGCTGTCTATTCTGTTCATGTGATCCAAGCGGTACTACAGACAAAGTTTGCGATAATAGGACTGGTATTTGCTTTTGCAAAGAAGGCTATGCAGGCGATCGATGCGATACCTGTGCTGTCAATTTCTACGGGTTTCCTAATTGTACTAGATGTATGTGCGATGAAATTGGATCATATAGTCAGGTATTTAGCTGATACTTTTATTTGATACTGAGTGATAAAGTACACAAATACAGAATTTCATGAATAATAAGCAAACCTATGATTACTTTGCATTCATTGATAGGTTTGTGACACTTATGGCAAATGTGTTTGTCGTCAGAATTTCGGAGGACTTAAATGCGGAGACTGTTCACCAGGTATATAATCAAGTAGCTAAATAATTTATCTTAATTGAGTCAATTACCCAAAAATAGCATAATATTTCATAATATTGTATTATTTATAGGTTTTTACAAATACCCGGAATGTTTGCCCTGTAGTTGTGATTATAGGGGGAGTAATGGTGTTTCGTGTGACTACGCCGGCAGATGTATTTGTGGCGATAGATTTGAAGGCATATATAAGATCTGGTTTAATTTTATAATTTATAACTTAATTTGCAATATTATATTACAGGAGAGAAATGTGACAAATGCAGGGAAGGGTACTATAATTTTCCGCGTTGTGAAGGTATGATAAAATAATGGGTGATAATTATGCAAAGATAACTGTATTGTTTGGTCGCACCAATAGAGTGTAACTGCAATCCGGCCGGTTTGGTGGCACAGTTTGGTGGGTGCGATAAAGTACAGGAGGGAAAGTTATGTGAATGTAAGCAAAGAGTGACGGGTCGTATATGCAATCAATGCAAAGATTTGTATTGGAATTTGCAAATCACTAATCCTTACGGATGTGAGGAATGTCTTTGCAATCGGAACGGAACTGTCAATGCAATCGGTTTGTGTAACACTGAATCGGGAGAGTGTCAGTGCAAACAGAATGTTAAGGGAAGGGTATGTGATTCATGTAAAGACGAAACTTATGGCCTTAGATCTGGAGATGTTTTCGGATGTGCTGGGTATGTCTTGTTTTATGTGTTGAAGTGTTTGATAAGTATAGTAATGTTAATTTAACTGCAAATCAGATGCAACTGTGACTTTGGTGGAGCTGTTCATTCAGTTTGTAATAAGACAAGCGGACAGTGCTATTGCAGACCCCGAGTGAAAGGTCTTCGCTGTACTGAACCCATAGACGTCACATATTTCCCGACTTTCTATCAGTTCCAATACGAAGCCGAGGACTGGAGGAACCCGACCGGCTCTCCCGCCAGGTTTGGATACGACGAGACAGTGTTTAGTGACTACTCGTGGAGAGGTTACGCCACCTTCACTGACCTCCAGAGAGAAATCATCGCCAATATAACTATTCAAAAGCCCAGTATATATCGAGTGATCATTCGTTACGTGAATCTAAACAGTGAGACAATTAGTGGTAGCATTACGTTCACTCCGGCCGAGTCTTTTGGAGAGACCCAACAGAGCAGTTCCATTCAGTTCGAGACCACCAAAGAACCCAAACTCCTATATGTGACCGGAAAACCCGGTCTTATAATACCACCCCTTGTCTTAAATCCAGGGCAATGGGAGGCGTCTCTCAAGGCAGACAAAAATGACTTATTAATTGATTACATAGTACTCATACCTCAGGCCTACTTCGATCAGACAGTGGTCAGAGAGAGGGTGTCTGAGCCGTGTAGACTCAACCGTCAGAATATGTGTCGACACTATGCGTACCCAGAGTTTCCAGAAGAGAGTTCAGTTGTGAGGGGACAGTCAGGCTTTATATCTGATGGTGACGCCCGATCTAACACACAAGTATTCAATGACGGAGAAGTTCTCAAGAAACTCAATTATGAGGGAAGTTTGGCTCTTCTGGACACTAATCAACGAAAAGTTGCTATGGATTTAGCCATTAATAAACCCGATTCTTATGCGATTGTCATTAGTTATCACAACCCGACTCTCAATGACATCAAGAATAATGAATCGATTCAATTGGTTTTGGAAACTAAAGGTCTCAATGGAGAAGTGATCCAAACGGCCGAAGTCTTAGTGGCCGACTGTCCCTATAGTTTCATTTGTCGACAGATCGTAACCGATAAAAGCGGACAAATCTCTACTTATGATTTTGATTCAAATTTCGTTCAGTTGTCCTTAAGTTTATCCAATTTAGTGCCTGAAGATTATGCTATCGGTTTGGATGCTGTGGCAGCCATTCCTTATCCTAACAATTGGTCGATCGATAACTTAATGCCCCGTTTTGTTTGCACTAAAAAGAATGGCGAATGTACTGAATCCACATTTTCTGTGGTCCCAGAGGCCAACAAAGTATTCAATTATTTGATGAATGAATTTTTATATTTTAAGATTCAATGATAATTGTGTTGATTTCAGATTGAACTGGAAAGAGATCAGAATAAGGACCGCATATCAAGTCGATTACCGTTTGAAGTGAAGGATCCTCTCGACCCCACTCTTCCACAACTGATATATTTAGAGGAAAAGGAGCCAACAGTTGACATCAGAGGAACAGTTCCCCGAAGAGGATTGTATACATTTGTTTTGCGATACTTTCAGCCGGATAATTCTGGCTTTGAATTGGAGGCACTCATTCAGAATGGATTGTTTCACAACGGAATTATATCTATAGAGCACTGCCCGAGTAGGACAGGCTGTCGAGCTGTCATCAGACAACGTGACACAAATGTGACCTTTTTTCAAGTGGATGACAGCTTTATGCTTACATTGAAAGCACCGGAAAAGAAGAATATTTGGGTCGACTATATATTAGCGATTCCGGTCGACCACTACGACCCGGCCATACTTGAGGTGAAACCAGAGGACAAGAGCTCTAATTTGGTCTCTCAATGCTTTCAAAACTCATTTTACATCAACCCAGACGAAGCAAACGGTTAGACATTCATAATAATTATTATTATTACAAAAATTCACATATCATTTGATAAAACATAAATTCCTGTTCAGAATTGTGTCGTTCATTCATTTTCTCAATAACTGTTGATTTCAATGGAGGAGCCCTTCCCTGTCAGTGCAATACTGATGGTTCTTATGATTATAAAGTTTGTATTTTTTATATTAACTTAAATTTGTTTGGTATTAATGTTATTTAAAATAAAGTGCAAAGGGTTTGGCGGTCAGTGTAACTGTAAGCCCAATGTTATTGGAAGGACGTGTTCGCGCTGTAAGACTGGATTTTATGGCTTTCCTCATTGCAAGGCATGTAACTGCCCGTCCACTGCAGTATGTCATCAAGTGACTGGTGAATGTATTTGTCCCCGGTATGTTAGATGAATGAACAATTACATTTGTGAGTAGTTATTAATTAGCAATAATGAAATGATAATCAGAGGCGTGACTGGAGAGCAGTGCAACAAATGTCTTCCTTTGACTTTTGGTTTCGATCCAATCATTGGATGCGTTGACTGTGACTGCGAGCCCTATGGCGTACAGAATCGCGATCTCCAGTGCGATGTGGACACAGGAAACTGCAATTGTAAACGCAATATAATCGGCCGCACCTGTAATAAATGCAAACACGGTTTGTATAACTAATTGACAAAGGTTTTCAAAATGGATAAAAATTAAAGTTATATTAAATTGAATCAGGATTTTGGTCGTACCCTCACTGTCAGCTCTGCAAATGTGATCTCAGAGGTTGGCTCACATTCTAACTTAAAAATCTTGTAAAACTTGTAAAGTCTTTAAAAATACGGTATTCATTGAACCTAAACACAGGTGCGACGGAAAATATATGCGATCAGAGAACCAGTCGGTGTTACTGTAAAGAAAATGTGGACGGGGAGTATTGTGATCAGTGTAAACGGGATTCATATAACCTGGAAGAGAGCAATGTGTTGGGCTGTACTAAATGCTTCTGTTTCGGCACAACAGACCGATGCAACCCTTCTTCACTCGTCACCATTCAGATCCTCGATATGGATAAGGGATGGAAAGTTGTGACCCTTTTATTCACGGATACAATGCATATGGAAGTGCATCCCATTAGTAGAGATCACGTGAAAGTTGAATACGAGTCCGGCGGAAGAGTTAAGGCCAAACAGCCGGCCCTCAGACCAACCGATTCGAGCGCTAATTTTATTCTATATTTCTCTCTACCGGAGGAATATTTGGGAAATAGGATCACATCTTATGGCGGAGTTCTTAGATATAAATTACACAATACTGTGGACAGAGAGAAGTCGGACGCGACGGGAATGGTTGCCGCGGATCTGGTCTTAGAGGGACATAATATAACAATAATTCACGAACACATAGAACAGCCCACACTCGACGACCCCTTTGAGTTCAACACTACACTCGTTGAAAGAGAGTTCAGACATTTGAATGGACACGAAGTGACTCGCGAGCAGATGATGATGGTTTTGGTTGCTTTGGACGCCATATATATTAGGGGAACATATTTTGAGCCAATTTCGGAGATTTATGTCGAGAATGTATTACTCGATAAAGGGGTTGAAGGGCGACGTATAGCCGGTGCACCCAAGGCTTCAACTGTATGTTTGATTGCTTTATTGTACAGTATTTGATTGCTTCACAATTATAATTAATATGTTTGTCAATCAATTGACCAATAGGTTGAACAATGCGTTTGTAAACCAAATTATAGGGGAACTTCATGTGAGGTAAGTGCAGTGAATAATGAGTTTCTTAAATTGTGTTAACTAAACAGAATATCTATAGGAATGTGCCCCGGGATATTACAGAGCTCCGACGGGACCCTATCTGGGCTTTTGTGTACCTTGCTCATGTAATGGCAAATCGAGTGAATGCGATCCTGTGACCGGCAAGTGCTTCAACTGTCAGTACAACACCGAAGGCGATCACTGTGAGAGATGTATCTCAGGCTACCATGGTGATGCCACCAGAGGTATAATTATTCTTATATGATAGTAATGACTAAAATAACTCATTTTAACATTTCAATACTGTACTCAAATTTAAGGCACTCCTTATGATTGTCTAATATGCGCCTGTCCTCTGCCATTGGCCAGCAATAAGTATTATAATATTTAAGTTTTATTAAACAATAAAACTCTACAAAATTATTTTTCTATTAGTTTTGCAACCAGTTGTGAAGTATCTCCAAACGGACTTGAGATTAGTTGTCAATGTAAAACAGGTTAGAATTATTCATACAGTACTACAGTATGTGTATCTGAAATATGATTTTCTAACTTATATATTAGGCTATTACGGGTCTCGATGTGATGTATGCGCTGCCGGACACTTTGGTCGTCCAGAAGTGATTGGCAGCAGTTGTCAGACTTGTAATTGTAGCGGAAATATTGATTACACAAACCCAGGCAGTTGTGAGTCCACAACCGGTGAATGTATTCAATGTCTGCATAACACGACTGGCCGGGCGTGTGAGCTCTGCGACTCGGGATTCTTTGGCGATGCCATCCATATGAAGAACTGTTCCAAATGTTCGTGCGATGAGTGCGGTACTGATGTGTGCAACCACTATACGGGTGACTGTAAGTGTCGCACCAATGTTATCGGCAATACCTGTGACCGATGCGCACCCGACCACTGGGGCTACAGAACGTGTGGTGGATGTCGCAAATGTTTGTGTCAAATGGGAGCTATTGGTACGGCTTGTGACGATGAGACGGGTCAATGCAAATGCAAACCTGGAGTTTTGGGCCAACGATGTGACACATGTGAGCCTGGTTATTGGAAATACAGTCAATTTGGATGCACTGTAAGTTTGTTAAAAATAAATTCAATTAGGTTGACATAAAAAGTATTTTAATTGATTTGTATCTGGATGATGTAGTCATGCAATTGTGCTGAAAAGTATTCATACGGTGCCGTTTGTGACCAAAACACTGGACAGTGTCAGTGTTTGCCGGGTGTTGTCGGCGAGAGGTGCGACAGTTGTCCCCACAGATGGGTTTTTATCGCCAAAACTGGTTGTCGTGAGTGCGGGCCCTGTGTCCACGAACTATTGGATGACACGGATGCTCTCAAAGAACTCATTGATCCTTTAAGACATGAAATGCAAAACACATCGTCCACAGTGTTTGCTTACAGACGTCTCAATCATATGAATAAATCTTCGCTGAGGGCCGAAGAACTGGTCGAAGAGATGAAGAAGAATCCCAAACAAATTGATTTATTGCCACTCTTTACGAAAGCACAGAATCTAAACCAAGAAAGCGATTCATTGCTCAGCAAAGTATGTTTTTTCACTCAAACCAATGCCATTTTATTTGAATTATTTTACAGTAAATTATTTTTCATTTTGTTTTTTAGAGCGAATCTGCCCTCAAAGAAGTGGCAAAGGTTTTAGTGGAGGCCTTGTCTGTGAGGGACGACTCAGCAATGAGTGATCAACTCATACGGGAAGCTATTGTGAAGTCATCTCTTGTTGTCGAAGATCTTAAAAAACTTGAAGAAGGTTTTCAATTAGCGTCGGCTTTAATCGGACAAAGCATTGAAAGAAGGATAGCTGAGGCCGAGAGGATGGCACAGGAGGTCCGGAATAAGAGCTTTGCAGACATGCATAATAAGACAGAACTGGAAGAAGCGAAAAAACTTTTAGAGAGAGTGACTCTGTTTAAAGAGCCATCGTTTGCCACTAAACGACAAATCAATGACACCAATGTGAATGTGGTGAATGTGATCAAACTATTGTCAGAACTTATGAACAGAAGTCACGAATCGCTGAAAATAATTGTCAAAGTTGAAGAACTCAATAAACAGATCCTGAATCGACACTTTGATCGGGACATCTCTAACTTAAAGACTGATAGCGAAGGTGTTCTCGAAATTGTGAACAAATCAAGAGATTTACTCGAAGAGACTAAGAAAGCATTGACACCAACCGAGTCTTTAATTATAGATTTGGCGCAAATGTCTCGAAGACTAACAACTGATACCATTAAGTTCAACGACTCTATGATTAAATCGCAGACAGAGACCAACCAAATCGGACCGTTCATTACGAAGGCTGAATCCCACGCCTCATCCCTGCGAAGACAAAGTGACGAATTGGACCGAATGTTCGCCGGAACCAGACTTCGAGCTAACGATCCATTGAGAGCCGCCAATGCGTTCAACTCTATTGCTGAAGCCTTAGATAACGCCACCAAATCATCCAAAGATGTCATCATTTCGGCAGAAAGAGTGTCGACAGACGAGACATTAAATGAATTGATTAAACATAAGGATAAAAGTCATGATTTATCTAAAGAATCGCGTAAATCGAGTATTAAAATAGAGTCAGATTTGGCGAATCCACTGAATAGGGCATTGCTTAGAGTTAATGACATCGAAAAACAAACCAATATTTTATTGACTAATAAGTCACTGATTAACGAAAATTTAAAAATTCTTTCGGATCTGAAAAGCCTTCAAGAATTGAGTAAAAAATCGACGGCAGCCGCAGAGATAGCAGATATGGCCACTAAGAAGAGTAATGACAACATCGGAGTATTGGCCGCAAGAATAGAGGAAATTGAGAAGAAAGCGGCGGAAGTTCCCAAAGATATGAATGCCGTCAAGAGTGACATCCGTGCGAGTCGTGATCTAATTGAACACATTTACACCCAAAGTCTTGATAAGAATCGAATCGAAGAGGCGAAGAATAAATACGAGAAACTCAAGACTCTTAGAGATGGATATAAGGTTAAGATCAGTGATTTGCAGCGTAAGATCGATTTGGCCCGACATCAGGCCAACCGAATCAAATTGGCCGCAGAATTCAGGAGTGACTCCTACTTACAGCTTAATAATCCGGATTCACTTCGAGAGTCCGCAACCCATACAAAATTGTCGCTATTCTTCCGCACCACTGAACCCAATGGTCTGTTGGCTTATATCGGAAATCCGATCGCAATCTCAAAGAAACCAAAGCTCAAGCGATCTGAACCTTCAGACGATGCGGACACAGATGAAGAGCAAACGATTAGTTCCAAACGAAAAGTTTCATCTGATTTCATGTCACTGGAGATAATATCAGGAAATGTTGTGCTAAACTGGGATTTAGGCGTCGGAACCTCTACACCCATTCGTAATGATAAGTATGTGAGCGATTGGAAGTGGCATCAGGTGATCGTCGAGCGCATCGGCAGATCCATCCAATTGGTGGTCAAATCTCAGAACGAAAAGGACTCCGTTGTGGAGACATCATCTCAAGGACCGGCGAGTGTCTTCAATTTGGATGAACGCTATTCTCGTATATTCATCGGTGGAATTCCGGACTACGTTCAGGTCCAGAAGGAGGTCCAGTACAAGAGATATAAGGGTCAAGTGGAGGATGTGGTGTTGGGCGAGGGTCCGCTCGGTTTGTGGAACTTTAAAGATTCGGATCATGTTTTGGGGGCCAAAGAGAGAGAGGCTTTGGTTGATTTGGATTCAGCCGAAGGCTTGTATTTTGATGGCACCGGTTATGCAATTCTCTCTCGAGGACGACTAAACTTAACTAAAGACACATACATTAGACTTAAGTTCAAGACATTCGCAAAAGAAGGCCTTTTGCTTCTTTTAGGACACGAACGCGATTTCTTGGCCCTCGAACTCAAGGATGGATTCGTTTATTTTAAGTATGATTTAGGAAGCGGTCCCTATATGTTGAAGAGCAATATAACCACCAATGATGGCAAATGGCACACCATTCAGGCCAATAGACAAGAAAAAGGGGGTATCATTAGTTTGGACGGTGTTTTTGGAGACCAGGGCGATGCCATTGGTCTCAATACAGAATTATCCACAACAGATGACATATATATCGGCGGTTATCCTAATCATCACCACTACTATGAAGTAACTAATGTTGACTTTGAGGGATGTATTAAAGAACTACAGATAGGAACTGATCGACAAAATTTACAAAACGTTAAGGAAGTCTTAGGAGCGGTTCCGGGTTGTCTGACAACTGCCGGAAGAACAGCTTCATTCACAAATGAATCGACCGGTTATGTGGCCATTGAATCCAATCTGAATCTCGAGCGTAACGTTCAAATAACTCTCAATTTCAAGACATCCGATCCAAATGGTCTACTCTTTTACGTGTCAAACAGTGATCTGTCCTCTCATTTGGCCATATATTTGGAATCGGGAACTCTTAGTCTTCGCGTACAACCGGGCGGTTCCATACGAACTGAACACCGGACCTATAATGACAAACAGTGGCATTTCATAACCGCTAGTTTTACTCCTGAGAGACTCAGACTAGACGTCGATGACATCAATTCGTTTACTATAGAAACCACTGAAAAGAATGAATTAATAGTTGGAGAGAACAACACCATATATTTTGGTGGTCTTCCCACTCAGATCTCTTCGCATGCAAACTTTGTGTCTTCTATTCCCACATATTTTGTCGGCTGTTTAGGTGACGCCACTGTAAACGAAAAGTTTCAAAATTTTGCCGACGCTTCCCATAAACCGAACGCTTCTCTGACCAGTTGTCCGCTCACTGAACACAAGAGTTTTGACAATTCAGATGAAGAAATCAGAGCATTGACTGAAGCAATCAAAGTAACCGATGGGCCGACACCCGCCACGTCCACGTCGGCCCCATTTATACCGCCCAGAGCTTCAATACAACCGCCGCCTACAGGACAGTGTAGATTATCTTCGGTTCCTGCGGAAGACAACACGCCTTCGCCACCAAATGTGGTTCGCTTTGGAGACACGCACTGGAGTCGACATGAATTCGAGATATCCTCCGAAGTGGCCAATGGTCTGCTCGAAGAAAGCGGTTTCCAAATTGAATTCAAAACTACTCACGAAGAAGGGGTCATATTCTATGTGACGTCCGTTAATCATATCGATTACGTGAGTCTATACCTATTGGAGGGCAAAGTACATTATGCCTGGGATTGCGGTTCCGGAAGGGCTATAATCCCATCAAACAATGTCTACAGCGATGGTCAGTGGCATAAAGTGACATTCAGTCGAAAGGGTCGAAACGGAATCCTACGGATCGACGACGGGAAGGAAGAATTCACGGGATTCTCAAACGGCGCCACAAACTCATTGAACGTCAAGTCTCCCATTTATATCGGAGGAATACCTGAAGAACTGAGCAAATTAGCCAAAAGTAATTTACGCGGTTTGGATAAAACAGGTTCTTTGTCGGCATCAGTGGTCACATCATTTGTCGGATGCCTTCGAGAACTCAGTGTTCACGCGAACCGATACGAGTTCGGCGTTCACAGCGTCGGCCATCAGGCCTCCAAATGTACGGATAGTGTAGAGTCGGGTTCGTTCTTCCACTCAGATGGCGGTCACATCCGACTATACGACGAGTTCAGAGTTGGCTCACAATTCTCGGTCAATCTGGAGATAAAGCCGCGAACTCTGTCTGGAGTTCTGTTGGCAGTGTTCGGACAAACCGATTATCTCCTCATATATCTAAATGACGGCAATTTGACGTTCGCTGTCGACAACGGAGCTGTAAGACAACTGATGATAGCGAGGACATTTACTAATTTGATTTTCATTTCAAAATAGGGCTCATTTAACGTCACATTTAACCCAAGCTCTAAATACTACTTATGCGACGGGGAATGGCATACAGTTCACGCCAGCAAAATCAATAATGTGGTGACACTTACTATCGATAAACAATTTGGTGACACAGGAATGGGCATCGGAGGAGTTTCCTCCACTGATACCAAAGACCCGCTATATATCGGAGGAGTTCCAGTGGATGTGCAACTGTCTAAAGGCATAGTCGATAACTTTGTCGGCTGTTTACGTGTAGTGGAGATGAATAGTCGCCGACACTCTCTAAATCAGGCCCGAGTCGAAGGACACGTTACTCTCAACTCATGCTCTTTGCTATAATATTATGTCTTATCTGTAGTGAGAAAGCGATTAAATTGTCAATCGATAAGAATAGCGTAAAACTTAATTAAACTAATCTTTCAAAATTTATATACATTTAATTAAAGTCATGGGATTTTAACAAAATTTCTGTTTTTATATAAACCACCAAATTTGATGAAAGGAATCGTTTTTTGTCAGTAATGAAAAATGTTTGAATATTTGTATGTCCTTTGAAAATATAATAAAACTTAATGAGCATTGATTTGAGTGAATAGCGAATCGAGTTTTTTTTATATAATAGACATAAGGCTTCAAAATTCATAATAGGATAGTATGAAGTTATTGTAGTTATTGTGTCGATTCTGATCCCTCACAGCAGCCAACTGTGCAACAAAAGCAAGAGTGCCTTATATTGCCTTATATTGCCTTATATTGCCTTATATTGCCTTATATTGCCTTATATTGCCTTATATTGCCTTATATTCGGTTCAATATTCTATATTCATGTTTCATGTGATATATTGTATTTTGAGGAACTAATAGATAATATGCGGCTCAGGAATCCATAGCAATCCATATACAGCATACAGTTCTCTATAGGAATAGCTGTGCACTTTGTATACTATATATTACTTTATAGAATTTGACGCTTCAATAAATGCTATTGAATGCAATATACAATATATGGGATGTGATGAGGATTTTATCAGTTCTATTCAAAGATCCTATTGTCAGCCACTCATGCGTTCAAATTGCACCCAAATAGAGGGTCAAAAAGGCCATACATGTGACACTAGAGAAGCTGTATTCAATAATTACCACTATATTCAAAGAAATCATTCCTCATCACTTCTCTAACCATTGCTTTGTTTTTCTATTAGCTATATATCCAAGAAATAAATATCTTTATAATACACAATACATACCATACAGTATACCCGTACAGTACATATACTCTCTACAGTACAGTACTTAAGTTGGAGTTATATTAATACTAATATAACATAATTTGCTGTAATTTCTTCAATCAATAACACAATTAATAATAAAATCATAACTCATTCTGCTTTGACTCTTATATTTCAATGTTTGAAGTGAAATAAACGACACAAATGCCCATCAATTTCCGGCATTCATTACAATTCAATCACTAACACTAACACTCATATCGTAGACCTTTAAACACCACCTTAACTGTAGTCTCAGTCTGCCTAACCTCTAAACCTATACAATTGATGCTTAATTGATATCTACGTTAAAAATATGTTTCAGTTTACACTGCGATTAGGGTTTAAATTTTCCTTTCATTCAATATAATTGAGAAAAGTTTAGTTTTATTGAAGATTTGTTATGAAGATTGTGATGGTTGTGATGATGGATGAAATAGTCTTTCAAACCAATGAGAGCTTCAGATGAACGCAACTGCCTGCGCATTATAGCCAGAGTTGTGGCACTTATAGCAACAGTTACCGATCCTATGACTTCAACTCTATTCTACTAAAACTTTGCTCCAAATATTTTTAATTAACTAAATATCAATTATATGCCCAAAAAACCACTATTATGTGATTCATTAATAATTAAGTCTAGTTTTTATTTCAAACATGAGTGAAAATAATGTCTTGGATTCTAATGAATCGATTGATTGCAAACATAAATCGGTTGCAAATGTGGTGAATTCTAATTCTTCGTCTCAATTGAATCTTTCAACTGATAATAAGATGACATCTTTTCCTCAGTCCATATCCGAACCGGTAATGAATTTCACACTTAATATGTCGAGTTTTTTGAACGTTTTATCTTCTTTACACCCTTGTCTTGTGTGAAGCCCTGTTTGATAACAGCCGCTAAGTCTAGCTCTCTGAACCTTATTTTTTCAGCTAAAGAACGAGAGACAGTAACCTTTTGCCGTCGACCTCTCTAATGGTATAATTGTCACTCATTTCATGCATTTTATTATATATTATCAATTGCACTTTCATTCAAAGTTTGGCGATTTCCATACCTGTGCTTCAAGAATGGTGGAGGTGAGTGTCACTAATCATTGGCTCTATAGTATTCTATATAATATTTACCATTTGTTCTCTATTTTTTAATTTAGCAAGATAAAATTCTAAATTGTTATATCACTTGCAGCATTAATATTTATAAATTGCAAATTATTTTAATTTAAAAAGAACATGTATAATATATTTGCAGTACTGAATAGTAAGTTTCATATGAATAAAAAATAATCTTATAGTACTCCATTAGGTAATTTAAAATAGTAAATTAAATGTTTTCTATTAATAAACAATTTTATGAATCAGTTTTTATAACTTAGTTGAGGGTTAAATACGATATAATTATAAAATTATTAAATGTTTAAACAGTTAATATTTATGAAATATTTTTTTCAAAGAAATTGTTAGAATGATTATTTTATGATGGTTTTGACTAATTTGTATAATTTAATGAAATACAGTATTAATAATTAAAAAAGTACTTTTATTTTAACTCTAACTTTATTAAAAAGATAATTTAACTTTAATGATGTGGATTAGAATAGAATAACTTCTTCAATAATTATGATTTAATAATAAACTTTATATAAACATAAATAAACAATCAAATATCTATTTAACATGGTAAGAATAAAAGAATAAAATTATACATTTATCAAGTTAAAACTTTTATTTCAAGGCTTTAAAGTCTTGTAATTCTTTTAAAAATTGTCAAATCTTTAGAATTTCTCTTTTAATTTATCAAGTTAAATTTAATACAGTATTATCATTTAATAAAACAAACAAAATAGTATAGATAGTTTTAAATAATACATAATTATCAATTGTAAGCAATGAACTTATGTTGCACAATGTTTCTATATCTTTATGAATGAAAATATATGTTACAAACCGGTTTTATATTTTGTTTGAACTCATATCATAATCAATGTTCATATACGTAATTAAGTTTGACGTTAATAATGATAATTTACTTCGTAAAGATTACACTTTCACGGATTAGTAAAAGCCTAGTTTAGTCTAGCCTAGGTAGTCTAATTTATATAATTTGTGCTAAACTAACCAAAATTTTGCAATTTATTTGTCATTTGTTTTCAAATATTTTAAATAAAATAAAACTTTTGCCGAAAACTAATTGAAGCTTTTTTTGAATATAATAAATGAGTTGTCATCAGCAGAATTGTATGCTAATGGCGTAAACTACCTCTCCTTATGCCTCCCTCTGCTCTCTCATTGTCTCTCGTTTTATATCTTTTGGTTTCTTTACTTTCTTATTAGAGTTACCGTAATTTGAGAGCATATCTAATACTAATAACATTTAGTGGATTGAATGCACTGTTTGTGTCATTTTCTGAACAGTGAAAACATTTCAAAACTTGTATTCATTGTACACTTTAGGAGCGTTTCTCATTCCATACGTTATAATGTTAGCCGTTGGAGGGATTCCGCTATTTTTCATGGAATTAGCGTTAGGCCAATACCACCGCAAAGGGGCCATCACTTGCTGGGGCAGAATTGTGCCTCTTTTTAAAGGTTTGATCCATTTGTTCAATACACATAATATGACAATATTATTGTCTACAACTCATTACTACTACACACTGCTTATCCATATTAACATACAATCAAAATAGGGTAATCATCATCTATAAATTTTTTAAAACCACAATTTGTGAACATGTTTTCTTACAAAAATCAATATAATCAAGGTTTACATTTAAAATTTTCCATTGCATAAAGAAAAGACCAGATTCTATCATTATTTTGAAAACTATATAAATAACATAAAATTAGATATTTATTATCCTAACTCACTGTACAATCATTATATTACAGTTAGAACTGAATCACAAGTTTTTGATGCATTAGTTTCTAGCATCAAATGATGAAAAACAGATTGACTATATTATTATTATAATGACAGAATTTATTAGATTAAATTACAATTATATAATTTATATATAGTTGTGTCAAAATTATACAGAATTAGAGCGAGTATATACTGTAGTCATGTTATTTAAAGGAATCAACAGTTATTATCATTGTCAATTGAATGTTGTGTATAACTTATAGATTGCTTTCCTTTCAGGTGTTGGTTATGCAGTAGTTTTGATAGCATTTTATGTAGACTTTTACTATAACGTGATCATCGGCACCCGCAACGTAAAGAAGGACAGTAGTAAGGTCCGTCTCAATGGGACCTGGTTTACGTTGTTGGGGACCTTGTGAGGGCTAACGATACTCAAAGAGAGACTATTGCTGGGGTAGGGACAGTTGTATACTACCATTGAAGGGCCCCTCCTAAACAACCTAAACAAGAAACGAAAGTCTCCGGCACTCGAGTACTTCAAGTATGATATTATTATTTAACTGTATTTATATTTTGGATAAATGTAATCATTGAAAGTTTTAATTTTTATATCATGTCTTATAAATTATAAGTATAATATGAATCGAGTTTTTTTATAATGGCACTTTTGCTGTACATTTGCTATAGCATTTGTGCCATTATTGAAAAATCCATTTCATATGCTAGTTCGTGTAATGGTGATCTACATTCATTTAGGTTTACTACTTGCTTCAAATTAAAATAATTACCCCAGTACTTCTACTTATTAGATACAAGAATATTTTATTGCTTTATATTAGCACAATCTTAAAATGCTCAAGTAGATTTCTCAGTGTCTATAATATAATACATATTATGTCCTTAATTATCAATTATTATTTAGAAAGATCTAACTTGATAGTCTTGCTTAAAACCTGTTGATTCTTGATAGCCACAAAGTTAATTATTCCAATTTTGTGAAAATTATATAATATCAGTATAAAATGAGTATATTGTATTATCCACAAAATATAATAAAATTGCAATTTCATTAAATACCACATTTTGTTTCTAACGTAATGTATTCCATTCTATAGAGAAGTGTCGGCTAAATATAATTACAGATACAGTCAGTCTCTCCATTTTACTTTTCTCCACATTAATAGCA